CTGCGCCGGCGCTGTGTGCACACGCGGAATGCATTTTGCCTCGAGTAATTTCCCGTCTTGTATATTTTTATAAATACGCTTTCATGGTCCCGCGCTGCCGCTCTGCGCTGCCGCTCTGCGCTGCCGCTCTGCGCTGCCGCTCTGCGCTGCCGCTCTGCGCTGCCGCTCTGCGCTGCCGCTCTGCGCTGCCGCTCTGCGCTGCCGCTCTGCGCTGCCGCTCTGCGCTGCCGCTCTGCGCTGCCGCTCTGCGCTGCCGCTCTGCGCTGCCGCTCTGCGCTGCCGCTCTGCGCTGCCGCTCTGCGCTGCCGCTCTGCGCTGCCGCTCTGCGCTGCCGCTCTGCGCTGCCGCTCTGCGCTGCCGCTCTGCGCTGCCGCTCTGCGCTGCCGCTCTGCGCTGCCGCTCTGCGCTGCCGCTCTGCGCTGCCGCTCTGCGCTGCCGCTCTGCGCTGCCGCTCTGCGCTGCCGCTCTGCGCTGCCGCTCTGCGCTGCCGCTCTGCGCTGCCGCTCTGCGCTGCCGCTCTGCGCTGCCCCCCTCTGCGCTGCCGCTCTGCGCTGCCGCTCTGCGCTGCCGCTCTGCGCTGCCGCTCTGCGCTGCCGCTCTGCGCTGCCGCTCTGCGCTGCCGCTCTGCGCTGCCGCTCTGCGCTGCCGCTCTGCGCTGCCGCTCTGCGCTGCCGCTCTGCGCTGCCGCTCTGCGCTGCCGCTCTGCGCTGCCGCTCTGCGCTGCCGCTCTGCGCTGCCGCTCTGCGCTGCCGCTCTGCGCTGCCGCTCTGCGCTGCCGCTCTGCGCTGCCGCTCTGCGCTGCCGCTCTGCGCTGCCGCTCTGCGCTGCCGCTCTGCGCTGCCGCTCTGCGCTGCCGCTCTGCGCTGCCGCTCTGCGCTGCCGCTCTGCGCTGCCGCTCTGCGCTGCCGCTCTGCGCTGCCGCTCTGCGCTGCCGCTCTGCGCTGCCGCTCTGCGCTGCCGCTCTGCGCTGCCGCTCTGCGCTGCCGCTCTGCGCTGCCGCTCTGCGCTGCCGCTCTGCGCTGCCGCTCTGCGCTGCCGCTCTGCGCTGCCGCTCTGCGCTGCCGCTCTGCGCTGCCGCTCTGCGCTGCCGCTCTGCGCTGCCGCTCTGCGCTGCCGCTCTGCGCTGCCGCTCTGCGCTGCCGCTCTGCGCTGCCGCTCTGCGCTGCCGCTCTGCGCTGCCGCTCTGCGCTGCCGCTCTGCGCTGCGCTCGCGCTGCCGCTCTGCGCTGCCGCTCTGCGCTGCCGCTCTGCGCTGCCGCTCTGCGCTGCCGCTCTGCGTGCGCTGCGCGCGCTCTGCGCTGCCGCTCTGCGCTGCCGCTCTGCGCTGCCGCTCTGCGCTGCCGCTCTGCCGCTCTGCGCTGCCGCTCTGCGCTGCCGCTCTGCGCTGCCGCTCTGCGCTGCCGCTCTGCGCTGCCGCTCTGCGCTGCCGCTCTGCGCTGCGCTGGCTGCGCTCTGCGCTGCCGCTCTGCGCTGCCGCTCTGCGCTGCCGCTCTGCGCTGCCGCTCTGCGCTGCCGCTCTGCGCTGCCGCTCTGCGCTGCCGCTCTGCGCTGCCGCTCTGCGCTGCCGCCCGAGTACCCAAGACGCGGGACGCCCCGCTGCGAGGCTGCCAAAGGAGTCCAAATTGCACGCGCAGCCCACCCGCGTTTTCGCAAAGGGAAAAAGGAAATGATGAATAAATAATGACTCCGCGGAGCGGGAACCCCAGTGGTGCGTAAACGTTTACGGACCCGTTAGTTGGTTCGGACGGAAATAATAATAACGGAAAAAAGATGTAATCCCCTCCTTGTTATGTGGGAGATTAATTGCAGGGGATCAGCAACAAAAATAAGGAAAAAATTATCCAGAGATGCACCGCGCCACTTATGATGTTAATTAGCGTCAATCTTGGGTCTGGCGGGGGCAGGGCGGGGGCAGGGCGCGCTGGGGCACGCTGGAGCCACTCGGCACCCCCCACCCTCCAGCGCGATGCCGTGGCGTGGACGGCAGTAATCAAGCATCAAATTAAACGGCAGTCTTAGCGGTGCGGGGCCTCTGTGTGTGAGAGGTGGGGGGAGGCAGACGGGCAGACCGACTGCGGAGGCACAGAGGCATCCCTGCCGGGGCATAAGAAGGCGGGCGTGACACGCCGGGGGGCCGCCAAACAAGCTGATTGGCTGATGAGGCTCTGGTTGCCCCTGGCAACGCGGGAGATGTGGCCCGTGGCTCCCCGAGGCTGCCCGTGGCTCCCCGAGGCTGCCCGTGGCCCGCGAACGGTTGTCGAGGGATTTTCGTCGACGAAACGTCCCGTCCCGTCGAGCGGGGTAGAAGATTACACGCCCTTTTTTATGTCGAGCATGATCCGTGCCCAGACGGCTCCACTCTAGAACGTGGCGCTCGAATCTTGCCTCGTCCCTCCCCCCTCTCCCCCTTTTCCTCGTCCCTCTGCTTCTTGTTGCTGTAAATGTCGTGCCGTGGGCCGCGGTGCGTCTTTTTGTTCCAATATCAAGGCCACCCAGTGATTACCGGTTTGATGGGGCAGGCCCTGGATTGAAAGGGGAGTGAGTCAGCTGTGTGTGTGTGTGAGGGGGGGGGGCGTGCGTGCGGAGGGCGGGGCTTTAATTTGGCCGTCTACATTCTCAGATTGAGGCACAGCTGCCGCTCCCATTTTAATATGTGCTCGCGAATATGTGTCAAAAGGCTGAGGCGGGGCGCGGGCCGGGGGGGGGGGGGGCTGTCCGTAAATGCATCGCTGCCACAATGTAACAGTAATTGGGTCCGCACCCTCCACTTCTTCCTCGTTGCTTGTTAGCCTATTTTTTCCCCATATTTTTGTTGCTGTCTTGTTTTTGGGCCGCTGTAGGCGCGGCGGGGTGCGGTGTGGTGGGAATGCCACCAATGCGGGAGGAGCGGGGAGCGCGGCAAGCACGCCGCCAAAGTTGACGTCAAGGTGAAGTCGCGCGAGAAATGTTTATGAATTTTCATAAAGTTTAACGGCGAGTTTGGCCCGGTTCGGGCGAGAGCTCTCGCTAGCGAGTGGCCGTGTTCATAGTGGCGGAAAGACCGAGGACGAGGACCGGGAGGAGGAGCGGCAAATGGAAATATCTGGCGGGGGAGGCCGGGGGTGCAGGCTGCCGCCCGGTCAGCGCGAACCGCGCCATGACAGTGTAGTCGCGCCTGTTGCTGACGTGTCGGACGCATTCCAGGAACGGAAATGAACATTCATGCGCCTTTATCATTGTTTGAATGGACTTTCGCGAAAACGAGACTGAGGGGCGGGAAAGTCGCCCCCTCCCAGCGCGTCAAGTGATTTCAGTTGTTTTTGCAACAATCCTCCCCGTCTTGGCAAAGCAGTTTGCGTCCGCGCCTTCATGAATAGAGAGAGAGGGAGAGGGATGGAACCTGCGGGTTGCATTTGAATGCCAGAATAAGGCGACTAATCTCGCCACCTCAAAACTTGACGTTCCTCGTCCGGCACGAGCGCCCAAGTCGCTTTTTTCCGCCGCTTGAATTTTAGTGACATTGCTGTCGGGCCGCAACTGTCGCCGTTTCTAGTTCTCGTTCCGCTCCGCTAATTTAATATCTCACCCTGTCGCTGACACGACGGGCGACGGCCAGGGGCGAGCTGAGGGAGTGGGGGAGGGGGAGGGGGGGGGTGTACTCTTTGATCTCGGAGCTGTCTCCGCCAAGGACTTATTCCCCGGCGCGAATTTCCTAGCCATTAACTGTCCTTGGACCACTTTCCTCTCTGTGCCGACAAAAGTGCACGGGACGCGGTGCGGACGTGGCCGGGCTTTGAATGGCAAAGAGCGGCTCGCCGTGCCAGCCGTGCCGTGCCAGCCGTGCCGTGCCCTGCTGCCCCCAGTGGAGCCACAGCGGGGCCTCGATCCCCAAGTCAGGTGCTCAAAGAGGTAACGACCTGGCCCCTTCAAAACCCGCCTCTGAGTGTGTGTGCGTGTGTGTGTGTAATGTATGTGTCTGCATGCATGTATGTGTGTGCATGTGCGTCCTCCATCTGCCAAGTTGTGCGGCTTTGTGCTTGAGCTCGCTCCTTCCAAGCGCGCCCTCGCGGGGACTCAGAGGGACTCGCTTCTCCTCACAGGACTGGACCAAAATGATGTTCCGTTATCCAAACGCGACCCCTGCAGGGCCCCGCCTCTCCTCGTCCGGAATCCGGGAACCCGCGGCGCACTCTGATTTTTCGCTACTTGTTTTTATTTTTTCATCATTTCTTCCGGTCTGTCTGACTGTCACTGGAGCGTTCCCCGTCTGCTCGCTCGTTTGCCGCGCTGCAGCAACAGTGGCGCGCGCACCCCGCCGCGCCACCGCCCTCCAGTGCAGCAGAGCCAGCCCCGTTACTGTGATTGTTATTGGACTTTGCCAAGTGCGGACACTTTTGCAGGAATGGTCCATAAAAACGGTGAAAATCGCTGTAGCGCCAATTTGGGGCTTTTGTCCCGCTTCGGTCTGTTTATGGTCGTCATTTGCCTGGTGGCCTGGCGCCGCCGCGCGCCGCGGTGGCCTGCATCGGGCGCCTTGCACGGAGGTGCCCCCCCTCTCTCTCTCTCTGTCGCACTCCATAGCGTCATGCACTCGGTTCTCCCAGGGAAGCTTTCAGCCAGGGAGGTCAACAAAGGAAACGTTTTTTAGGAATGTGTTGATTATTTTAATGGATATGAACGTCAGGTAGAACCGTCAGTTCAACCAGGGAAGGGAGTTTTGAAGCTCCTTCTGGTATTTTCGGAGAAAAAAAATTTTTAAAAGATATTTTTTAAAATTATACCTGCCGGAAACTAACTGAGTAGAAACATCAGAGGTTTTAGAATTTTACAAAGATCGGAGGCAATATTTTTATTTTTGCACAAGTTTGTTGGGAATTTTTAATATTTTTTGTAGCTGATGGTGTTTTGATTCTGAAACTAAATTCTACCGTCTTTTATGTTTTTCGGTTTGGTGTCACTTGCTCTTGTTTCCCCCGTGAGGGGTCTGGCCCGCCCTGGATGTAATCGGTGGCTGTGTTGCAGGTGAGGACGAGCGGGTCTCCAGACGGTGCTACTGATCGCTAGGATGGGCGGAGCGCGGCGAACCGCAATAGCTGTCTACCTGCGGGCCACAGGTGAGTCTTCGATTGCTGCCCTTCTGCGTCGCTCTGCGTCCACCCTCCGTGTCACGCTCTGTCTCTCTCGCGCCCATGGGGTGTTCCGTTGATGTGCGAGAGAGGCAGAGCGACAAAAGCGACTCTCGAAGCGACTCTGGGAATGAGTCTGGTGCCGGGCCAGCGGGCCATCGACCGGAGCCAGCGCCCGGAGGCCTGCCGTGCCGGAGCCGAGCCCGAGCCACGGACGTGCGAACGAAAAATACGGTCGCGCCGTTAATCCGTGCTCACTGGAGGCAGACAGCCCGGAAGTCCGGGGCCCTGGTTCGTCTAATGAGAAAAGGGGGGGAGGGGGCGGTGAAATAAAAGTTGTTTGGCGAGGGCGAGGGGAGCCTTGAAAGGAAACGCGAGGCTGGGCGGCGGTGCGTCGGGCGGTGTGTCGGGCGGTGCGTCGGGCGGTGTGTCGGGCGGTGCGTCGGGCGGTGTGTCGGGCGGTGTGTCGGGCGGTGCGTCGGGCGGTGTGTCGGGCGGTGTGTCGGGCGGTGTGTCGGGCGGTGCGTCGGGCGGTGCGTCGGGCGGTGTGTCGGGCGGTGTGTCGGGCGGTGTGTCGGGCGGTGTGTCGGGCGGTGTGTCGGGCGGTGTGTCGGGCGGTGTGTCGGGCGGTGTGTCGGGCGGTGGCGTCGGGCGGTGTGTCGGGCGGTGTGTCGGGCGGTGCGTCGGGCGGTGCGTCGGGCGGTGCGTCGGGCGGTGTGTCGGGCGGTGTGTCGGGCGGTGTGTCGGGCGGTGTGTCGGGCGGTGCGTCGGGCGGTGCGTCGGGCGGTGCGTCGGGCGGTGTGTCGGGCGGTGTGTCGGGCGGTGTGTCGGGCGGTGTGTCGGGCGGTGTGTCGGGCGGTGTGTCGGGCGGTGTGTCGGGCGGTGTGTCGGGCGGTGGTCGGGCGGTGTGTCGGGCGGTGTGTCGGGCGGTGCGTCGGGCGGTGCGTCGGGCGGTGCGTCGGGCGTGTGCGTCGGGCGGTGTGTCGGGCGGTGTGTCGGGCGGTGTGTCGGGCGGTGCGTCGGGCGGTGCGTCGGGCGGTGCGTCGGGCGGTGCGTCGGGCGGTGCGTCGGGCGGTGCGTCGGGCGGTGCGTCGGGCGGTGCGTCGGGCGGTGTGTCGGGCGGTGTGTCGGGCGGTGTGTCGGGCGGTGTGTCGGGCGGTGCGTCGGGCGGTGTGTCGGGCGGTGTGTCGGGCGGTGCGTCGGGCGGGTGTGTCGGGCGGGTGTGTCGGGCGGTGCGTCGGGCGGTGTGTCGGGCGGTGTGTCGGGCGGTGCGTCGGGCGGTGCGTCGGGCGGTGTGTCGGGCGGTGCGTCGGGCGGTGCGTCGGGCGGTGTGTCGGGCGGTGCGTCACGGCGGTTTCGCCCCTTTTTCATTTGTCGCTCGAGGGTTTCGCTCGGCTGCAGAAAGTCGTGCCGAGTGGGGCAACTTCTCGATGTCATTGACTCGCCGTGAATGTCGCTGAGGAAGCGCTGCTGTTTGACGGGGGCCGCGGAGGCGGGGCGCGCGGCCCGGCGTGTGCGGCAGTCCTGGCTCGAGTCCTGGCGGAGATGAGCGCCAGGACCAACTGGGGGAAACAGCACTTGTCTGGATCGCCGCCGAGGTCCGGGTCCCGGGGGAGGGGTGAGGAAAGGGGGGCGAGTGTTTGGCGGCAAGTTTTGCCGATTCATCACTGGTCACTATCCTCCGCCGTCGTGTTTCCAGGGCGGTTGTTTTCTTTTTAAGCCGGTAGGCGGCGCTGGCGGCGCTAGCGGGTGCCTCGCCAAGTTGCCGACATCGGCGCCGCCACGCCCACGGCCTCGGCCGCCTCGGCCACGGCTCAGAGCCGCCACCGCCGCCACCGCCGGCCGAAGACAGAGCTGCTATCCAAAGTTTTCCCCCACCGCGGGCACCGCGTAGGGTCGGTACTTCAGCAGTGTATGAGCTGCCCCCCGCTATCGATTGCACACCTTTCCTCGTCGCCCCTTTTTTTCCCCCTCCGTTACTTTCTTTGTACTTGTTAAACTTGTAAACCGGGCGAAGCTTCATTCAATAGCGGGGCGGGAAAAGTGTTAGAAAGAGATAAAGAAGTTGCCTGGGCCAAGCAAGCCGTGTCCGAGGCCGTGTCCCCGGCCCCGCCCCGGCCCCGCCCTGCCGGATTCGGGGCGCCGATACGCCTCTAGCCTCTCGCCGGGCCCCGCCCCGCCTCGCCGCCCCGCCTAGCCTCGCCGCCTCGCTACCTGCCAAACTTGCCCGGTTATCTCTTGGACCCATTGCTTCCACATTTCCACCTCCTCCTTTCGGCGCCGCGCTGTCCGCGCATCCATCTTCCGCGGACTCTTTGGGGAGCTTCTAGTGGCGCAGATACACTCCGGCCGACGCCGCTGCCGCCAGGGCCGCCTCCGAGTCTGGGCGCATCCTTTGATAAGGCCCTCTAAAATACAGTGCCCCAGTACCTATCTGGACGCTATCGCGCGCACTCCCACACACGTGCTATCTCTTCCGCGCTGCGCCGCGCCCGCTCGCGTGTGTGAGAGTGAGCGAGTGAGTGCCAGGAGCCCCTCCTCGACAATCCAGACGGTAATTATGAGACGAGCTCCTCGCTGATAATCTCGGCGCGGCGCACTCGCTCGCTCTCACTAATTTGTTGCACAGAACTTGGTCCCTCGTGCTGAAGAGAGAGAGAGGGAAAGAAAGCGAAAAAAAAAAAACAAGCGAGGCGAATAAAAACTAGTTGTATATAAAGGCAGCGCGCAGCAGGAGACACGCGACGGAGTGAGGGAGCGAGAGAGATAGCCCGAGAGCGGCGAGAGAGAGGGAAGACTGCGGCTTATGCGCGGCGAGCACCACCGTGGTCTCGTGACCATAGCTTTCGCGCGCTCGCTTCCTGTTCCGTCGTTTTTGTCGTTTTTTTGGTCGCTTTATTTTCATTATTTCTATGAAACACGCGTCATTCCGAGGTGGTTTTACGATGATGCCGTCCATATAGTTGCAATCATTTTATTCGCCCCGCCGAGTCGCGCGGGCGAGGCGAAGCAGCGGACCCCGCGTCGCGCAAAGCGACGCAAAGCGACGCAAAGCGACGCAAAGCGACGCAAAGCGACGCAAAGCGACGCAAAGCGACGGTGGGTGGCGTGGCGTGCCGTCGCGAATATGTTGACTGTTCCGCTTGGCCGTTACGATACGTGCGCCAGGCTCGCGGCTCTCTCTCTCTCTCTCTCTCTCTCTCTCTCTCTCTCTCTCTCTCTCTCTCTCTCTCTCTCTCTCTCCCTCCCGGCCCATGTACCCGGATGAATGACGAGGTCCTTATTTACCCGAAGGAATTGCGCGTCACGTGTCGCGGCCGTCGCGGCGGCTGCTTTCAATTTTTCAAAATATGGGCCGGGCGCGCGGAAGGCGGTGAAGGCGCCGTCGAATGTCATAACTCTCGCCATGAATGGAACATAAAAGGGTGCCATGTATTTTATGAGACGCGATGGATTGTGTTCCTGGGCCGGGCTGGTTGGGCCTGGTGGCAGCGCCCCGAACCCGGACGAAGCGAGAGCGAGAGAGCGGAGGGGGAGAGAGAGAGAGCCCGATGAATTTGTGTCGTGAGAAGCGGCCATCTTATATCAATATTTTCGGGGCGGCGCCGTTCGTTCGCCACGGCCCGGCTTTTATCTAGGGCTTATTTCCCGGCGCGTTTTGAGTGGTGGCGCCCCCCGCCGCGCCCCACCCCGCCGCCCCGCGTCGACGCCCTCGACACACTGACAAATCTCTGCCTGCATAGTCCGGGCCATGCGAGACGAGCCTCGCCGCACGCAAGTGGGCCACCGCTGTGGCGTCCGCACCCAAGCCGTCATCGCCGAGGTGCGGCAGTGGTGTCGCCTCGCGGCCGCTCCAGCCGCTCCTCCACCAGCCGCTCCTCCACCAGCCCGAGGGGGTAACCACTCGCGTAATACCCTGTACACAAAAACCGTGTAATACGCGTAATACACGTGATCGTAATACCATTTTTGGGTCAAATGTGCCAAATTTGGGCATTTTAGGGCCGTAATACACGTGTAATACACCCGTAATACAGCGTAATACCGAGTAGTCTGTACACGATTTCTTGAAGTGTTTACCCCCTCGCACCAGCCGCTCCTCCACCAGCCGCTCCTCCACCAGCCGCTCCTCCACCAGCCGCTCCTCCAGCCCCTCCTCCACCAGCCGCTCCTCCAGCCCCTCCTCCACCAGCCGCTCCTCCAGCCGCTCCACCAGCCGCTCCTCCAGCCGCTCCAGGCGAAAAGGCTCCCGAGCTATAACCAGGGCTGCGTCGGGCACGTCTCTATCCGGGCCGTCTCGCGTCTGGCCGCCCGGCAGCGCCACTCCGCCGAGCAGCGCCCCGCGCCGCCCCACGCCGCCCCACGCCGCCCCCGGGGGACCTAAACGGATTTTCATAAAACTCTACTTTTGCCATTCCAAAGCATGCGCTCGCTCGCGTACCCCGCCATTCAGGAAGTCCCTCCCTGGCTTCCGCGTCCTCCAGTCCCCCCTTCGCTTCCCCCCCCCCCCCCCCTTCGCCTCCCCCTTCGCCCTGGTCCCTTTGCCACCCCGAGTCGTTTTGAACTTCCCGCTCGTGGCCGTCCCCCTGCAGGGCGCCGTCCCTCACCTCGCGGTGGAGCAAAGAGGGCGTGTCGGCCCGCGCGCGCAGTGTGTGTGTAGGTGTGTGTGTGTGATGTGTCTCCAGCGGGCGGGCGGCTCTAGTTTTATGTTCCCACCTGCGATCCGTCTTGTCTTGGCGCCCCCCATTTCGGCATTGGGATCCCGTGTGACACACACACTCCCACACACACACACTGTTGCTCCGCGTACGCCTCTCACTATCTCTCTCCTTTATCTTCGCGATCTGTCGCCATGCGTTTTAATTTCCTTGAAAATAAACAAAATGTAGCTGTGGTTTTTGCTTTAGTCTGTTGTGGTCCAAGGTATTTCAAGTCGAAGTCTGATGCGTCTTGGCAGGGCGGTCGGTCGAAGCGCCCGCAATCGGTGG